ATAACTCAACTTTTAAGGCCAAGACCCCAAAAATAGATGGAACATTTTACATGTCCCTATGTGAGCATAACTCACATGTTTAAAGGAAAAATTATAAGGAAAATAAACAGTGACTACAGTCCCATTAAAAGGAAGTTTAGACTTAGCAATGGGACATAATGTTTTCAACATTTCTATGTACACAGTTGCGTTGCTGACTGATCTCTAAAATGATGTTCACTGTAAAGTATATGTTTATTTGCAATGTGAATGACAGTAAATATGATGAACCTTTTTTCACTTTGAGTACCCGATTGTGTGCGAGAAAAAAATGAGACTGGTTGAATTTAGTGAACGCAGCTTTATTCTATAAACAAAGATCAGTGAACAACCTCACATTCAATGTAATGGCCCTGCATTGTGAAGATGTTGAAGGTTTACCCACAACCCAAGAGACCAGAGTGGAAAGAGGAGCAACGCCTGCCAGAAAAAAAACAAGGAGTAAGGTAGATACTACAAATATTTAACCCTTATAGTGTAGGGGGACGGGTACTGTAAGGGTCATTTTTACAGCTGGCTGGATGAACAAGTAATAAGAAATGAAAAAAATCACCACATCTAAGGACAGGTAATCAGCAATATAAAGTATATGCATGTGTGAAATATAGAGACAATAATTTATGGTTTGTTTTTAACTTACACTTTATTCACAAGGCGCTTCTATCTTGATTGTTTTCTATTTGGTGTGCTGGAGAAGTGTAGGCAGTGGTACCTATCACCTGCAATGCTTTTATTTCAAGGTTCCATAGCTGCAGTGTCATTCCCACTGCCGCCATCGTCAGACCTCAGATATCTAGGCAGGCCTGAAGCTCTGAGCTGAGGGAGACTCCTCCGGTTCTAACGTGTCACATGATGCATCCAAGGGAAGGATTTCCCCTCACTCTGAACTGCCGTGGTATCTGAGGTCTGAAAGTTTGAGCCCATGGGGTAGTGCAGGTATGCTCTAATTTATTGTGTAATTATGTGCACTAGTGGAAGGAGTAATCTGTATGGGGGGAAGGGGAGCATGTCGTTGGGAAAGATCTGCACTGGAGGGAGAAATGTCCTGGGTGGAGAATAAATGTGTAACTAGGGGGAAGACGTGTACTAAGGGGAGCAGGGAAATTCGACACCTGTACTCTATGCAATGCATGCTGCTCTGAACATTGTACACTTCTGATTTCTGGACTGTGTGTAACCCTTGTAATCCCTGCATTCTGTGCAATACGCACTCCAGCCCCTACTCTCTGTGCAATACATACACTTGACCCCTGCAATCTTTGCATTATATACCCATGACCCCTGCACTCTGTGCTTTTTATACTCCTAACCCCTACAGGCTGTGCATTATCCTACTCCTGACCCTTGCACTACTGACTATCGCATTGTGTATGATAAACACTCCAGATCTCTGAACTCTGTGGGTGGCATACTCATGACCCCAACACCCTCTGTGGTATCCAGCCATGCCCCCTGCACTTTGAACATTATGTACTCTGGATTCCCTCTCTACGCATTACACGCTTCTGACCTCTACACTCCTGACCCCTGCGTTCTGTGCATTATTGTCAGGGATCTGTACCTGGGGCCTCTGTGATGTCTGGCAGACTCTGTGCCACCCTGAGATGCTGGACAGCTCCTTGTCTGATCCCTTGGGCAATCTTGCTTTATATATTGTTTCTGATGAACCTTGAACTCTTTACTCCTCCCCTGCACTTCCTGATTTAATCCATGTCTCTGCACTTCCTGTTTGCCAAATTATTGCTCTCTTTCCAGCTGATATCTTGCTCCTTGCAAACCTGCAGTCGTCCTTATCTTCAATACCATTTGTTACTCACCTTTGGCATGTCCCTCATCTACACTACAGCTTTATCCCAACCTTCAACCACTTGTTACTGACCTTTGGCTTGTTCACTGACTACATTTCTGCTTGATCCCTATCTGCTACATCGGATCCTGGCTTGCTCCTGGTGGGGTGATTCTGAGAACCTGGCACTAGCATGCAGCAAAACCCATCTCCATCATCAGAAGCTCTGGTAAAGACCAGTTAGTGGGCATGTCTCATCCACCAAGGTGTCCTGCTTTTGTATTTATCCTGCTGGTTGGTGTGAACCTCTCTACTGCTATAGCTACTGGTCTTCGAGCCTGACCCCTGATTGTGACAATTATGTACTCCTGATCCCTGCAATCTGTACCTTAAGCCCTCCTGACTCTGCACCCTGGTTACATACTCATGACCCCTAAACTCTCTGCTGTACACATGCATAACTCCCTACAATATGTGCATTACGTACTCCTGACCCCTGTACTCTGGTTACATACTCATGACCCCTACAATCTCTGCAGTATACACATATAATTAAATATAAAGATCAATAGTGCCACACTAAAAACTACTAACCCCTACTTATCTACACAAAAAACATAAATAAATAGCAATGAATATGTATATAATAGATATATATCCAACTTAATCCGTGAATAATAATCAATAATGTCCTATTAAAGGGAAAAATATTGTAATGACACACAATTCATAGTGACACAAACCAAATGGTGTAAACTGAAGTCCCAACTAGCCCCCTAGCATGGGGCATGAAAAACACTAAACAGTGATGAATAATGATAAAGAACATGTGACCTACACAATAAAAAATATTATGTATGGTTAAATAAAAGCCATACATGACATCCCATTGGTTCCGGTGATGTGGAGCTTTCAGTGACCAGGATGCACGTAGGAAAGGAGGATTTGGAGGGTTGCCTTATTTGACCTATGTGATGTGGGTCAATTGGTGGAGGTGAGCGTGCATGCCTGGTGGTGGTGAATATTACAAGTATATATTAAAGGAGATGATTCACAGAATTACACTTCTAGATTCACTTTATTATGGACTGTCACTTTGAATTCATTCTCACAGTATTTATATGATCATTAATATTTTTTATTGTGTATATCACATGTTCATTATCATTATTCATCACAGTTTAGTGTTTTTCATGCCCCATGCTAAGGGGCTAGTTGGGACTTCAAATCACACCATTTGGTCTGTGTCACTATTATTTGTATGTCATTACACATATTTTTTCCCTTTAATAGGACATTGATTATTATTCACAGATTGAGTTGGATATATATATTTATTGCTATTTATTTATGTTTTTGGTGTAGATAAGTAGGGGGTTAGTAGTTTTTAGCATGGCACTATTCATCTTTATATTTAATTCTATTTAGTGGTGGAGCACGTTTTTGGTGCTTGCTGCGTTTTGGTTCAGTTTAGTTTTCGTCACTCGTGTGGCAGCACATAAGATCCTTATTCTATTATTATCGAGTACACACATATAACCCCCTGCAATCTGTGTATTACCAACTCCTGACCCCAAATATGCACATTCATGTTTACAATACACTGATTATTGCCTAATGTCCAATCTTTTTATTTTTTCAGTTCTAAAATCAACATAAAAATGTATATAGAGTGAACATTTTGATAAAAACCATGCAGCAAGCCTGCTTTAAACAATTACTGTACATTCTGAGAGGTTAATGTCACTTTAAGTTCATCATGAAACTATGAGATTGGAGCATTATAAGCTCAATAAAAAAAAAATGAGGCTTATTTACAGACATATCTCTATACATCCTCTAAGCACCCAGCATTTAATTTCCGACCGAGACATTTTAATGCATTTTTAAAGTGCTCATTATTTCAAAATCACGATAAGAATGTAGCGTTTGAAGTCTACCTCCCTCATTTATTTTGGTTTTCCGCCCGGCTCTATACCTTGAGCACAAAAATTTATTAAATGTGGGAATGTAAATGAAACAGAGTTTTTTCATTAGTTGTGCAGAAAGGACTTGAGTCCTTTGCAGTCACACTTCAGTGATTATTGAAATGAGATGAGATATTTGTATCTGTGTTTCAGACGTGAATCTGTAATAAATCTTTTTTCATGAAAGCTTGATGTTTATGGGGGTGGGTGTTCCCTATTTGCTCTTTTCATAATTAGATAATATAGTTGCTGATTATTAAAACATGAATGTGGATCAGGGACTGATGTATTCCAGCCTCTAGGTTTGGATGCACAAAACAGAGATGAATTTCACAGACCTTACTTATATACTTTTATATAGAAGTATTAGAATAAGTGGCAGGCATGGAATGCAGAGACTAAGCACAATGGCTACCAGCACTGGTGTCTTACTTAGATTGATATCTTGTAGCTAGAGTTCTGCCTTCTCTGTGTCTTTACAGCTGAAACCTCTTCTGGCTGTTTCACCAGTTCCAATGGAACAGCTACTTGTATGCCTTGGACAGTTAGGTGGCTTGATCAAAGCCTAAACTATCTATATTCAGCCATGGAATATGAGAACCGTAGTGAAAACCAAGAGGTCAAGAAACTTTTTCTTGCACCTTGCAGCCCCTATAAAGCAATTATCCTGGACCTGTCTGGTGTGTTCCTTGGCCTTCATTATGCTGTTTGTTCACTAATGTTCTCTAACAAACCTCTGAGGGCTTCACAGAACAGCTGTATTTATACTGAGATTAAATTACACACAGTTGGACTCTATTTAAGAATTAGGTGACTTCTGAAGACAATTGGTTCCAATAGATTTTAGTTAGGGGGCTGAATACAAATGCACGCCACATTTTTCAGATATTTATTTGTAAAAAATGTTGAAAACCATTTATCATTTTCCTTCCACTACACAATTATGTGGCACTTTGTGTTGGTCTATCACATAAAATCCCATTAAAATACATTTACGTTTTTGTTTGTAACATGACAAAATGTGGAAAATTTCAAGGGGTATGCTTGTAAATGCCTTTGTGCACATTGCCACATAGGATAACACATAAAGGTGCATTTAGAGGCTTAAAAAAAAGTCAAACACCTATAAAAGCAGTGCTTTTCACATCTTGGGTGGATGAGGCCTTACATTGAAACATGTAATGAAATGATACAACCTTTTATCTTACCTTTCCAGTTATGCAGCATGTGTATGGTACTCCACAAGACAAAGGTCCAGTGCTGTTACATGAGTGATATGGATTCACCTCCCAGTCTCTAAACTCTTCACCTCCACAGCAGGAAAACTGTACAAACAGAGTACGATGTCTATTAGACCATACAAACTATAACTTTTTAAGGAACAACCAACAAATGTATAACAAATTTAATTTCTAGACTGTGTAAGCCGCATACATACTGCGAAGTAAAAGGATGCTGTACATGACTACATGGTGCTTTTACACAGCTTCCTGAAATCATTACAGCTCATTGTGTCAGTACTTTTCTCAGCTCTGTTAAAATGTCAGGTTTTCGTGATGTGAAAGAATTGGACAAAGATAAATAATTTTAGAACTTTTTCCACCTTTAATGTATCCTATAAACTCAGTTGAACAACAAACTGCAATCTTTTAGGTGGAGGGAAATAAAAATAAAAAACTAAAATAATATGGTTGCATAAGTGTGCACACCCTTAAACTAATACTTCGTTGAAGCACCGTTTGATTTTATTCCAGCACTCAGTCTTTTTGGGTATGAGTCTATCATCATGGCACCTCTTGACTTGGCAATATTTGCCCACTCTTCCTTGCAAAAACACTCTAAATCTGTCAGATTGTGAGGGCATCTCCTGTGCACAGACCTCTTCAGATCACCCCACAGATTTTCGATCGGATGCAGGTCTGGGCTCTGGCTGTGCCATTAAAAAACTTTCATCTTCTTCTGGTGAAGCCATTCCTTTGTTGATCTGGATGTATGCTTTGGGTCGTTGTCATGCGGAAAGATGAAGTTCCTCTTCATGTTCAGCTTTCTAGCAGAAGCCTGAAGGTTTTGTGCCAATATTGACTGGTATTTGGAACTGTTCATAATTCCCTCTACCTTGACTAAGGCCCCAGTTCCAGCTGAAGAAAAACAACCCCAAAGCATGATGCTGCCACCACCATGCTTTACTGTGGGTATGGTGTTCTTTTGGTGATGCGTAGTGTTGTTTTTGCGCCCAACATATCTTTTGGAATTATGGCCAAAAAGTTCAACCTTGGTTTCATCAGACCATAACACATTTTTCAAATACGCTTTTGGGAGACTTCAGATGTGTTTTTGCAAAATGTAACCAGGCTTGGATGTTTTTCTTCATAAGAAAAGGCTTCTGTCTTGCCACTCTACCCCATAGCCCAAACATATGAACAATACGGGAGATTGTTGTCACATGTACCACACAGCCAGTACTTGCCAGATATTCCTGCAGCTCCTTTAATGTTGCTGTAGGCCTCTTGGCAGCCTACCAGACCAGTTTCCATCTCATCTTTTCATCAATTTTGGAGGGACATCCAGTTCTTGGTAATGTCACTGTGTTGTGCCATATTTTCTCCACTTGATGATGACTGTCTTCACTGTGTTGCATGGTATATCTAATGCCTTGGAAATTCTTTTTTACCCTTCTTCTGACTAATACCTTTTAACAATGAGATCCCTCTGATGCTTTGGAAGCTCTCTATGGACCATGGCTTTTGCTGTAGGATGCGACTAAGAAAATGTCAGGAAAGACCTACTAGAATAGCTGAACTTTATTTGGGGTTAATCAGAGGCACTTTAAATGATGGCAGGTGTGTACTGACTCCTATTTAACATGATTTTGAATGTGATTGCTTCATTCTGAACACAGCTACATTTCCAGTTATAAGAGGGTGTGCACACTTATGCAACTACATTATTTTAGTTCTTTATGTTTACTCCCCCCCCTAAAAGATTTAAGTTTGTTTTTCAATTGAGTTGGACAGTTTAGAGGTCACATTAAAGGTAGAAAAAGTTCTGAAATTATTTATCTTTGTCTCATTTTTTTACATCACAGAAACCTGTGATGTGTAGACTTTTTATATCCACCGTATATGTGCTAATAAACACCAACACTGAAGTCATTGCTGTTTACATGAGTTCCACTGTGTACACCTATTCCTTTGTAGGAGCAGCTGTAGACAGCACTTGTGGTTCCCCGAGTGTGGGAAAGCATCAAGGATTTTATGCTAGAGGGGTTTGAAGCCTCTAGATGTTCCTGCGCATGATAAGGGCTATGGGCAAAATAAAACATGATATATACTGTTTGTTGCAGTCTGTCACTAGCACAACATTGTAACTGTAATGTCTACCTTCATTTTGTAAAGAGCTGCGCAAACTATATAAATCAGGTATAATAATAACAACATGGCAATTTTAGTTTTTCTGTTTCCCTCCTTTGTAACATTGTTTTTTTAACTCTTGATTCTGCCAGTAGATCCAATTCATTTCCACTCTGTTTACAGAGTGACAATGTTGCTCATTCTGCAGTGGATTGGCACAGCAGTGTTGCCACTCTGTGGACAGAGTAGTCATCAATGGACTAAAATTAAAGTAGTATTAAACACAAAAGCAAACATTTATTATATTGCAGCTTACCAATTCTTAGATGAGATGACTGCATTAGTTTCCTTTTTTAGGCTACTATTTCTCTATTTTCATCTTGTGATCCAGCCAGTAAGTCTATTGTTTTTCAATAGAAAAGCTCTCTTGCAGTAACAGGGATGAGACAGACTGTTTAGCAGTGGCAGAGATGCTTACATTAATCAGCTTTTATTTATTTATGTAAAACATTTATCCCATAAAAGAAAAAAATGTTTGCTGTAAATGATTATAAAATATTAGCTGGAATTCAGCTTCAATTTGTTAGTGTATTTAAATCTGCTAGTACACCTAACACGCCCTCTCACCCCAGACTGGCAATGCTACTGCCAAATCTGCCCCCTGTGCTCCTTCATCCAGGGTGGTGTCTGTACAATAAATAATGTGTGTTACTGGCCATACCACACAGGGGAAAGCAAGGGAACAAAAGAAAAACGAATGTAGCCACTACATGTAATGATTGGTAAGCTGCAATACATTACCATTTTGGTTTGGGTTTTAATACCGCTTAATCATCAAAATTGTAAAGGCTACATTTTTTTTTTAAGCAGTAACAGTTTTTTTATGGAAAAAAAGGCTTATACCATATGAAAAAGGTGATCACCAAGGTTAAAGCCTGCATCTAAACGTGGAGAAAATATAAATACAGTCATGCAAAATAAAAAAAGGAATTCATATACTGAATACTATCATCACAGGTATAAACCGTTCACCAGAGTATAATATTTTTCACTCTATTGGGCCTATAATAAACTCTTTGTATAATGCAACTTGTAGTGCAAGATCTTAGTGGTGGTTTTTCTCTTACTCTTGGACGGTTAAAGTACTGTTGGAGAAAGGATAGATTTAGCTTTTTCTATCCATTCTAGAACAATCAGTATAGAGAAAGCAGATTTTATTTTTCTATTGATCAAGAAATGCTAAGCCATTGTGTAAGGTTTCTGGAAGCCATTGTGCTCAAAGCTCCTTTGTTAATATTTTCAGTCATGCTTTAAAGCCATAGATTTTTATTTTTTTTATAAGCCATAATAGAAAATGGACAGTGTCACATACATAGAATTCTTTTTCCTCAATTTACAGAATCAATACTTCGATTTTCTTCATTTGCTTCCAAGTATTCTCTAATTACAAGTGAAATATTTTATGTTTCTCTAGGTATAGCCAGAGTTTTTCTTTGAAAATCTTTTTTTATCTAATTTTGTTAAATCAAATGTAGTGCTACCTCCGTAGGAGCCGCTTGAATGATTTCCACGGGCTTCCTCTTGCTTTGCCCCACAGCCAAGCACACACACACACTCTTTGGCTCGTTGTCTTCAAGGACCAGTCTAGGGGATGTTTTGTTTTGAAATTTTTTTGTAGAACTGGAGAGAGGGATGAGGAATTGTAGTAGGATACGCCAAAATCAGAACTATTCACACTGAGGACATATGAACTTATCTCTCTGTTGAGCAATGCAGAAGTCCTGGCTAAGAGCAGACAGCAGACTTCCTTGTAACATATAGTATCAAGTACTTTTAGGAGTGAGCCAAGTCTTTAGCTGTAGTATTAATAACAGGGTTGAGCTCCTCAGGTACAGGCCCATTATGGCAGACTGCGACAGTCAAGAAGTAATAGCAACTGAGCAAAGTCCTTTGCAGTAGCATTGATTGGACAAGCTCTGTGATTGGACTAGCTAGTGTTCCCTTTCTCAGACCCCAAAAAAAACAATATTATGGTGCTATGTATGTATAGGTACCTAAAAAGAAGAGGGAAGCGAGAGGATAGTATGAAAAAATCTGTTTGTAGTCCCTTGGGAATAGAGTCCTTTATATATTAATATGTAGTAAATGGATCCTAAAAAGTCCTCTTCGGTATGGCCGTAGCTCCCTAGGAAGAGGATTGGATGCACTCATCTGTAGTAAAAGGACAAGAAACACAGGAAGCAACACCACCTAAGCGTAGTATGTATAAAATTCCAAGGAAGAATGTAAATTAAGAATTGCTCTCACATTTATTAAATGGATAAAAGCGGGGGGGGGGGGGGGGGGGGGGGGGGAGGAGGAGGGAGGTAATGGGAAATAAAATTTTTGTATTATTATGTATGCCACTATACAATTAAAGATGCACAGGCTTAATGAGGCCTATATAAGTAGTACAAAAACATAGACAAGGACAGAAATTAAATGAATTAAACTACAGTGTTCGTTTCGATGTCTTCATCAAGTCCTGATGGAGCCAGGGTATTCACCGAGGAAATCCAATAGGTTTCTTGTTCACATCATTTTTTAAACCTCTCTGCCTTGGTACAGTTATTGGGAATGTGATCTATTATCCATATTTTAAGACCTATGGTAGATTTGTTGTGACTAGTGTCAAAATGTCTTGGTACACTGTACACACTATCTCCCTTTTCAACAGCACGTCTGTGCTTTCTGAATCGCATCCTGAGGGGTGCGGATAGTTCTCCCTATATGGAGTAGGCCACATGGGCAGGTAAGGACATCAATTACAAATTCAGTAGAGCAGGTATAAAATTGGGAAATGGGATATGTTTTACCATTAGCTGTAAAAAAACTTGAGGAGCCTATGCTGCACAAATGGGCAGGTTAAACATATTTTCTTGTGACAACGATACATTCCTACAAGATCAGAGAAATAGTCTGATGTTCTGGGGATA